TTCCTCCTTCCCTTCCTTCCTTCCTTCCTTCCTCCTTCCTTCCTTCCTTCCTTTCTTTCCCTTCCTCCTTCCTTCCCCTTTCCTTCCTTCCTTCCTCTTCCTTCCTTCCTTCTTTTCCCCTTTTCCTTCTTCCCCTCTTTCTCCCCCCCTCCCTTCCCTTCCTTCCTTCCTTCCTTCCTTCCTTCCTTCCTTCTTCCTTCCTTCCATCCATCCATCCATCCATCCATTTTTCCCTTCCACCCTTTTGTCCTCCTCCCTTCTCTCTTTCCTCCTTCTGTTCCTTCCACCCTTTCGTCCTTCCTTCCCTCTTTCCTCCCTCTTTCCCTTCCTTCCTTCCATCTTTCCCTTCCACCCTTTTGTCCTTCCTCCCTCCCCTCCTTCCTCCTTCCTTTCCTTCCACCCTTTCATCCTTCCTTCCCTCTTTCCTCCTTCCTTTCCTTCCTTCCATCCATCTTTTCCACCCTTTCATCCTTCCTCCCTCCCCTCTTTCCTCCTTCCTTTCCTTCCACCCTTTTCGTCCTTCCTTCCCTCTTTCCTCTCTCCTTCCCTTCCATCTTTCCCTTTTCATCTTCCTTTTCCTTCCCTCTTTCCTTCCTCCTTCCCTCTCTCCCTCTTTCTCTTCCTTTCCTTCCCTTTTGTCTTTCCTTCCTTCTCTCTTTCCTCTTCTCTTTCTCTTTCATTCCCTCCTTCCTTCTCTTTTTCCTTCCTCCTTTTGTCCTTTTGCTAGGAGAAGAGAAGGTTGAGAGAGAACATGAGAACTATGTCTCAAAATTGCAAAGGGTGTCCCACTGAGAAGTAAGAGAGGAAAACTCTTACTTCAGTCGCCTTCAGGCTGAAATGGGTGGGATAGAAATAATGTAAACAAACAAACAAACAAATAAACTGACGTTCTGCTGCTCTAGAAACCAGGGCACAAGAAGGGAGCCATGGGTTCAAATTGCAGGGAAAGAGATTCAGCTGAGAAGATTAGGAAGAACTTCTTTGAGAGTGGCCTAGGCTGCCTCCAAGTGTGGTGGAGTCTCCTTCTCTGGAGGGTGTCTATTGGGAGTGCTTTGATTGTGCCTTCCTGCATGGCAGGGGGTTGGACTGGATGGCCCTTGGGGGTCTCTTCCATCTCTAGAACTCTATCAGGGGTAAGCAAGGCGGGGTCTTGTGGATACACATTTTCTCTCCCGTCCATCATCTCATCCTGACCAAGACCAACCCTTTTGGGATCTAAAATTTTCCTGTCTTTCCTTCACTTTCCGCCTCTGAAAGAGAAGAGGAAGGGGAGGAAAGGGCAGGGAGGGGGCTTGGGAGGGACCCCCTCCCTCCTGGCCCACCCACCCCTAATTTAGAAAGTTTTCCCATGCCTGATCTAGACTGAGAAAAGTAATAGCACTAGTCTCTTCTGCTTTGGTCACATTCCGCCTGGGACAACCCTGTGTAAGCCTGGGGGGAAGAGAATAGTGACCAGAATAAGACTTAGAGAAGTTACCTTTTAAAACTACAACTCCTAGAATCCACTTAGTATGAAAAGCATAGCTGGGAGGTTCTAGAACTTGTTGGTGTTTTTGTTTCGGAGCCCCTAAGGTGAACTTACCAAGGTCTGTCCTTGGCGAAATTTGTGTCGCTGGGGTTTGCTTTTACTGTCCTCTGAGGCAGAGAAAGTGTGACTCCCCTCAAGGTCCCCCAGTGCCTTCTCACAGCCACAGCGAAAGGAACTTTTCTTGGGTTCTGGTGTTGACTGAGGTTGCCGTGGCAGCAAGAGATCCCAGGATGCAAGGAAAAGATGGCAGGCCTTTCCCAAGCAAAGGAACAGAGCTTGCCAATTGAGGTACCCAATTGATCAGGAGGCAAACAGGGAAAGAGGGAAGGAAGGAGGCCAACCATTGGGAACTTTGCCCACTCAGCACCATAGATCTCCCCTTCTGAGTTTTGGTTAATCAGTGTTCAACTCTGTGGGTACGTCTGGATGAATGCAGTTTCATACCATAGCTCCATACTAAGGAATTCTGGGACTTCTACATCCCAAGATTGAGCCATGGCAGTTAGAGAGGTGCCAACTTTCTGGCAGGAGTTGATTCTATTGCAGGTATGGGCAAACTTGGGCCCTCCAGGTGTTTTGGACTTCAACTCCCACAATTCCTAACAGCCGAAGGGGGTTTCAGAGGGGTCGCCAAAGACAATCACAAAACACAAATTTCTGATGGTCTTAGGAAACCTTTTGGCAAAGAAGGTTGAAGATCTCTCTGCCTGTCCTCATCCTTGGTGTTGGTGAATGACAACTCCCAGAAGTCAAAAACAGCGCCCCCCCAACCCCACCAGTAGTTAATGTTGGCCATGTCGGTAGTGTGCCAAGTTTGGTGCAGATCCATTTTGGGCTGGGTTCAGAGTGCTATTTGATTATAGGTTAACTATAAATCCCAGCAATTACAACTCCCAAATGTCAAGGTCTATTTTCCCCAAACTCCACTAGTGTTCACATCTGGGAATATTGAGTATCTGTGCCAAGTTTGGTCCAGATCCATCACTGTTTGAGTCCACAGTGTTCTTTGGATGTAGGTGAACTACAACTCCCAAACTCAAGGTCAATACCCAACAAACCCTTCCTGTACTTTCTCTTGGTCTTGGGAGTTCTGTGTGCCAAATTTGGCTTGATTCTTTTGTTGGTGGAGTTCAGAATGCTCTTTGATTATAGGTTAACTATAAATCCCAGCAACTACAACTCCCAAATGACAAAATGAATCCCCCCCCCCCAACCCCACCAGTTTTCAAATTTGGGCATATTGGCTATTTGTGTCAAATATGGTCCAGTGAATGAGGATACATCCTGGATATCAGATATTTACATTACGATTCATAACAGTAGCCAAATCACAGTTACGAAGTACCAACGGAAATAATGTTATGGTTGGGGGTCACCAACACATGAGGAACTGCATTAAGGGGTCACGGCATTAGGAAGGTTGAGAACCACTGGTGTAGATGATGTGCCCCTTTCTCTTACAGACTCTATTTGAATGGGAAGAAAGTGAGAATGAGAGAGAGCAATGGCCTTCGACAAGGTCCCCCATGACCTTCTGGCAAGAAAACTAGTCCAATGTGGGTGAGGCAAAACTACAGTGAGGTGGATCTGGAATTGGTTACATGGACGAACCCAGAGGGTGATTCTCCCCAAGGCTTCCTCCTCTTCATCCTGGAAAGAAGTGATGAGTGGAGTGCCAAAAGCAGGGTTCTGTCCTGGGCCTGGGACTGTTCAGGATCTTTATTAATGACTTAGATGAAGGGTTAGAAGGCAGGATCGTCAAGTCTGCAGACGACACCAAATTGGGAGGGAGAGCCAAGACTCCAGAGGACAGGAGCAGGATTCAAAAATCTTGACAGATTAGAGAGATGAAGGGCCAAAACTAACAAAATGAAGTTCAACAGTGACAAATGCAAGATACTCCACTTTGGCAGGAAAAACGAAATGCAAAGATACAGAATGCAGGACAATGCCTGGCTCGAGAGTAGTACGTGTGAAAAAGATCTTGGAGTCCTCGTGGACAACAAGTTAAACATGAGCCAACAATGTGATGTGGCGCAAAAAAAGCCAATGGGATTTTGGCCTGCATCAATAGGAGCATAGTGTCTAGATCTAGGGAAGTCATGCTCCCCATGCTCTATTCTGCTTCTGGTTAGACCACACCTGGAATATTGTGTCCAATTCTGGGCACCACAATTCAAGAGAGATATTGACAAGCTGGAATGTGTCCAGAGGAGGGCGACTCAAATGATCAAGGGTCTGGAGAACAAGCCCTATGAGGAGCAGCTTAAGGAGCTGGGCATGTTTAGCCTGAAGAAGAGAAGGATGAGAGGAGATATGATAGCCATGTATAAATATGTGAGAGGAAGCCACAGGGAGGAGGGAGCAAGCCTGTTTTCTGCTTCCTTGGAGACTAGGACGCAATGAACAATGGCTTCAAACTACAAGAGAGGAGATTCCATCTGAACATGAGGAAGAACTTCCTGACTGTGAGAGCCTTTCAGCAGTGGAACTCTCTGCCCCGGAGTGTGGTGGAGGCTCCTTCTTTGGAAGCTTTTAAACAGGCTGGATGGCCATCTGTCAGGGGTGATTTGAATGCAATATTCCTGCTTCTTGGCAGAATGGGGTTGGACTGGATGATGGCCCAGGAGGTCTCTTCCAACTCTTTGATTCTAGGATTCTATGATACTAATGAAGGTATTTTAAAAGCTGCTCAAATTGGGCTTGCAAAGGATGATTCAGGAGTGCCCTGCAAAACAGGAGTATCTGTTATATTTTGCTGCAAGGCCAAAACACTTACCTCTGAACATATATTTCAGGCTCCTGTTTGTGCTTCCTTTCATGGAACACACAGCTGTGTTTTCTATTTTCCGAATGGACGCAATAGCAGGCACACTGATGGAGGAAAGCTTGTTTGCAAACCTCTGAAATGTGTTTACGGGGATATTTTAAATTAAATTTCCCCTATTTGTGTGCAGGTTTTTGAATGCCTTCATTTTCTTGCACGGAATTGACTCTCAACCTGGCAATGTATGAAACTGGATCCATAAATTGCACCTATTTCTGTCTTTGCTCTAAGTGGCGTGAATGGGGGAGTGCCATTATTAAAAAAAAATAGGATTTAGGCTCTACATTTCCCTTGAAGTCACATCATCTTTACATTTCCATTTTAGATGCATCTATACTGTAGAAATAATGCCGTTTGACATCGTTTTAAATGCAGTGACTCAATGGTGTGGAATTATGGGAGTTGTAGTTTGCTGAGGTTCCAGCCCTCTTTGGCAGAGAAGGCTAAAGAGATCCTGCACAACTACAAATCCCATTATTCCATAGCACTGAGACATGACAATTAAAGTGGCCGCAAATTGCATTGCATCGAGGACCCAGAAATTCATAGAGAAATAACGGGAAATTTGCACACTCTTGCAATTCCATAGAAGAAGCCAAATATACCAAATGTTTTAATGCACTTTTTTCTTCTTCTTTTTCCCAGGATGCCTTGCTGAGCTTGGGCTCCGTGATTGATATCTCCAGCCTCCGGGAAGTCATTAAAGATGCCATTGCCTCGGTCCTCCCCAAAGTGGTAAGTCCAACATAGTTTTGGTCCAATCTACACTCAATGCAGTTTGACAGTATTTTAATTGCCAAGGCTCATTTCTATGGAATCCTGGGATTTGTAGTTTTATGATGAGGTCAAAATTCAGCTACCTGCCAAAGGAGCAGGCTGACAGTCTGGTACAGTCCTTTGAAGACCAGATCAACATGCAAAGCGGGTTTGAAGGCAACAGGAATGGAGGTTTATTACTTTCAGGCCTGAAAGAATGTCAGATATAGAGTCTCTGCTCAAAAGGATCGAACATAAGGCATGCAGTACAGTACAAGGTTGTCAAGTATCATGTTCTGTAGTTGATTGTGGTTGGTGGTGGTAGGCCTAGCAGTTGGTGATGGAAGGGTTAATGTAAGTCTTCGTTTTAAAGGGTTGAGTAATCTATTAGTAAGAGTTCATGGCTGAAAGCAATTAAGGGTGGAGGTATGCAAGAGATAGGTTGCAGTTGGGTGTTTTTAGATATAATGAGCTAGCCTTGGGACTGATCTTTGTGAGAAAAGTATTTGTCTTATTTTGGTGGTAGATGCTGCTGGTTTCCCCCCAGGTTTGTGGATTTTCGGTATCCTGACCTATCTCCTGAACCTTTGGAATCCTGGAACCTTGAATCTTTGGACTGCCTTTTGATTAGGGAATAGACTCTTGATCCCTGGACTTTGTTTATTTAACTCTTGGCGTTTGACCACTGGACTGGACCCTTTGACTACGGTATAGCATTTGCTATCAGTTTTTGTTTTATATTCTGTGGCTGAGTGCTATCTTTATGTTTTATATTTTGGACTATTAAATATCCAGGAAATAAGTGCTGGTTTGATTAAATTGTTTAACACAAACTAGGAGTTTGGTTCATCTCTACCTGGATACAGCAGAGCTCTGGCAACGTGACAAAGGTGTTTTATTCTCTTTGACAGCCATTCAAAGTCCCCTCACCCTGACTGGTCAGAAAGCTAGTCCAAAGGATCTGGGTCTTTGTTGGGGAATCCTCTTGACATCACAGTGGTCAGGGGGGAAAAAAGAGCAGCTGTCATTTGTGTGTTAGAAACTAGTGTTGTTTGGTCTGCCATAGAAAAGAGGTGGACAGGTACAATATTCTGAGGCAATATGTAAAACAGTCCATGATGAGATTATTTGCCAAGTCTGATTTGAACAAAGGGGAGCGGGGTTATGTAAGTATGAACTGTTCAGTGTAAAACATACAGATTGTCAGATTGGCCTCTGCTGGTATGCAGGCAGAGATTATCCAAACAACAGCAGGCTTGTATCAAAACTCTTTTACTTAAAACAGTAATTCAAACACTTTATTTATTTACTTATTTATTTCCAGTATTTATATTCCACCCTTCTCACTCCACAGGGACTCAGGGCAGATTACAATGTACATATACATGGCAAACATTCAATGCCATAGACACACAACATATATAGACAGACACAGAGGCAATTTAACATTCCAACTTTTCATGAGGATATTCTGGCCACCAGGGGAGCTGTCGCTTCACCGTCCATTTGTGACACTGATGAAGTACTTCCTCATTCTTTGCATGGTTGCTGGAGATTTTTATGGCCTCATAAATTAGTTAAATTAGCCTCCCCGCATAAGCGGTACCTAAATTTCCTACTTGACAGATGCAACTGTCTTTTGGGCTGCAAAGGTCAACAGCAAGCTACACAAATTGGTTGGACGCTCACTCCGACCTGGTCTGGCTTCAAACTCACGACCTTTCAGTCAGTAGTGATCTTAATGCAGCTGACTCCTGGCCAGCTGCGCCACATTCCCGGTGCTGTTTCTACTTGACCGTTTCCAGGTCCAATTTCAAACATAAAGATAGCACTCAGCTGAAGTCACAAAGCAAAGTCTCATTAAATTGGGAGTACTGGAAATACTGGTTCAGGAACCAGGATAAACAGTACTCAGGGTTGCAGTCCAAAAGTCGAATGCTGAGGGTTCATGGAGTAATGTTCTAAGATTCAAGTGTACAAAGCGTAGTCATAGTTCCAAAGGTCAAGCCAGATAATCCAGAATTCAAGGGAAATCCAAAATCTAGAGTCAACAGTCAGTCCAGTGATTCAAAGTATATCAAGGTCCACGATAATAATAATAATAAAATTATTATTCAACTTTATTTGTGCCCCGCTAGCATCTCCCGAAGGACTCGATGCGGCTTACACATGCCAAGGCCTCAACACAACAACAGCATAACAACAACAATACAATTCAAAGCAAATCAAAAAACATAAAGTAATAACAACAACATTACAGCATAACAGTAAAAACCAGGGCCGGGCCAAGTGATGGATACAGATTAAAAAGTGCTGGGTGTGACAGGTGGATTCCTGGGCAAGTGCAATGTGCAGGAAGTCTTAAAATTCTAATAAAGTGCTTCTGGGGCAAATGCTGGAGTTTTCCTATTCCGGAAAGGCACATCGGAACAGCCAGGTCTTTGTTGGGGTTCAGTTTGAACCTGAGTTTGAACCTGATTCTCTGTTTGTACTTCCTGATGCTAATGAAAATGTACTTCCTGATGTCAATGATCCTGAAATTAGTGAGGAAGAAACTTCTGCAGATTTGGAAAATGAAAGTACCAGTGTTCATGAGAATGTTTCAGAGGGAAGCCATGACCTTTCACTCCTTTCTGCACCTGGGATCCCTAATGAGAATAGAAGGGGGCAGATCTGGCAAGACAGGAGTGAATCACTCAGCTTGCAAAGATTAAAAGAAAAACAAACAAGGCCTTCAAAGCAGGGAGGCGTATCACGGAACCAATTCTTCGGCTTTAAGTGCCTTTCGCTGGGCTGACTTTCTCAGTTCAGGCATTGTTTCAGATTGATGAGTACCTTGGCAATTCTCCCGGTTCCCTTGGTCTTGAGAAATTTCTAGGACACCAAGTACAGTTAGTGGATAGCTAACAGGTTCCAGTGTTTTACAGTGTGGCTTTGGGTTTTGATCTTGTTCATGGAAATTCATGTTTGCTGATTTTGCTGTGGCTTTTGACTTTGCATTTTTCCTTTATTTTGTAACCATTTTTCTTCAATAAAAAAGGATTGTTTTTTCACAGTCAAGTGTGGTGGATGGTTATCTTAGGGCCTCGTTTCCTGCTCTGGGTTGCAACAGTCTTCAAGCTCTTCCTAAAGACAGCCAACGTGGGTGCTAGTCTGATGTCTTTGGGGAGGGTATTCCAAAGTCGGAGGGCAACCACAGAAAAGGCCCTGTCCCTCGTCCCCACCAAACGCGCCTGCGATGCAGGCGGGATTGTGAGCAGGGCCTCTCCAGATGAATGAAGGGAGCGCGTGGGTTCATAGATGGAGATGTGGTCACGCAGGTAGGCAGGTCCCAAACCATTTAGGGCTTTGTAGGTAAGTACCTGCAGCTTGAATTGGGATTGGAAGGTGAACGGCAGCCAATGGAGCTCCTTGAACAGGAGGGTTGGCCTCTCTCTGTAAAGAGCACCAGTTAACATCCTGGCCACCGTCCGTTGGACCAGTTGGAATTTCCGAGCCGTTTTCAAGGGCAGCCCCACGTAGAGCGCGTTACAGTAATCCAATCTAGAGGTGACCAAGGCATGGACCACCCTGGCCAAATCAACCTTTGCGAGGTACGGTCGCAGCTGGTGCACAAGTCTTAGTTGTGCAAAAGCCCTCCCAGACACCGCCGACGCCTGAGCCTCAAGCGTAAGTGATGAATCCAAGAGAACTCCCAAACTGCGGACCTGTGGCTTCAGAGCATACAAGATACAAGAGCAACCTGTGACTTCAGGGGGAGTGTAACCCCGTCCAGCACAGGTTGCCACCCTATACCCCGGTCTGGTTTACGATTGACCAGGAGGACCTCTGTCTTGTCGGGATTGATCTTCAGCTTGTTCGTCCTCATCCAGATCGCCACAGCAGCCAGGCTGTGATAAGATACAGGAGCCACAGAGTCCGCAACAAGATTATCACCATGGTTCAAGGTTCAGCAATGTTCAGCACAAGAGTTCGGGATACAGTTTGGGAATAACACCATCCGCCAACCTGGGGGGAAACCCACCGGCGTCCAAAGCCAAATATTACAGATATTTTCCTCCCCCAAGAGCAGTCTCTAGTTCTTAGGGTTCTTACAGACAGATCAGTCTGACCTTTAGAGCCAGGAGGGAAATTAACCCCTTCCATACCCAACCTGCTAATCATATTCCTATATTAATTACCCCCTGACTGCCATGCATTATATACACTAACCACCACCAACTGCTGAGCATGCAACTGTAATAACCACCATAAACTGCGGGACATGGCACAGATTTGATCTATACGCTGCTGATATCTGGTGGTGACTCATCCATGGATTCTCTCCAGAGATTAGAAACTGTATTTGATAGATTTAACTTACCAGGTTGCCGTTGTCTCCTCCTGATGAACCCACTTTACAGTGGGTGGGGAGTCGGAAAAACCCCACAGGGACACACACAAGCATGTTACATTATTTAGGTTTCCCCCCAAAAGCAAGCGCTGAACTGCATATGCGCAGTCCTGATTTCCCAGCGCATCTTAGTTGTTTTTAATATA